GTTTGGTTTTTTTGGGTCGGTTTTTTTAGTTGTTGTTGTTCCTGCCCCTGGGGTCCTCCTTTTTCTGGAGATGATGCAGTCACTCTCCTTTGTTTTTAACACCATATGAATTAGACGTTTTCCTGCTAGGGAGGGGCAGGCTTTCCAGTTCCCGGTGCCACTGGCTGAGTCATTGGCTCTGTTTTTCTGTTCCGTTTTAGGTTTGTAATTACCTTGTTCTTACCTTTGTTAGAATACAGTTGCCAAAGGGTAGGTGTTTTACTTTGCTGTACTTCTGAGACATGAGTGCCAGTGGCTTTCAGAGCCTGGATAGAAGCCTTTGAAGCATCTGTTTTGCTATTGCCAAACAGAAAATAAATTCGTGTAGTCCTCAAAGTGCCTCCCTTCAAACAGTATGGTAACCATTAATGACAGATGTCCAGGCAAAGTCCAGTCTCTTGTAACCAGAACTGCTTTAACTGAAGGAGAAGTCGAAGAAAGCACTGAGCATGGGTATACTGAAGTGGAAAGGGAGGATTTGCTGATGTGTCTTAAGTTTATCTTACCTGATCATACTTTTCCATAGCAGGTCCTTGAAATAAAGCTCACTGATACCAGACTAGCAGGATTTAGAGAGGTTCTCTTTGCTTGAAAAGAAGAGAGAAAAAAAGAGGTGTAAACGAAAGGTTTGCATAGGAAGATTTTCTCCAAGTACACTCACTGCTCTTTGATTTATCTTTCTAAAAATAAATTAATAAAATCCTATTTATTTCCCCACCCCCATTTCTTTGTGAAGGATCTACTCAAGCAGGAGAAAATAACTGTGCGGGGGAAACAATGTAAATCACTGTTCACCCAGGAAGCAAACTGAAAAATAGAGAAGCAGCATCTTTTTTTACTGTTCTTGGTCACAGGTTTTATTTGTAAGAACCTGTTTTAAAAACTGGAGACAAGGTTTGTGGTTGGCTGTGTCCCTTTAAGAATCTAGTTTTGCTTGGCTAGCTGCCCTTGTTCTCCTGTAGATTAATCCAGCAGAAGGTATATAACCTGTTGACCTTCCTGGCGAGAAGGGTCTGGAAGGGCAAAGACATAAATCAGAAGGTTCGTGCTTTCCTGTAATATCTGGGGGCAAGTTTAACCTGTGCTTTTCAGTATTTGTCACTTCTTTTCTCTCTGGTGTGTTTTGGTTTTTTTTGCTTAGTGATTCCCATTTGAGGGTTGGGGTTGTAGTTACAGGTTCTCATGATTTTCACTGCCTTTCTCTGAAAAGCCTGTAAGTTGAGCAGTTTGGAAATGACGCTGTGTTTGTGCCACAACTGAGAGAGGAGTTCTGAGCTCAAGATTACACTACTCTGAGTTGAGGATGGCTCTACTGCCTCTTGTATTGAACTGGTAGGAGAACTGGAAGCTGGCTAAAATGGCTGGCGTCCATTTGTCTGCTAGGAAATTTCAGACAGGCAAATCTACAGAAAAACAAATCTGGTGGCCTTTCCTCAGTGTCAGCCCTCACAAAGTGATCATCTTAGCTGTAAGCAGTGAGTGCTCACCTGCTGCATGTTCCAGGTGGAGTGCATACTCCAAAACTGAGCTGGGGTGGTTTCTGAACACCCCAGGAGAGTGCAACTTGGTTGGTAGCCCTGAGCAGGGCTCATTCATAGGATGCAGGTGTTTCACGGTTGTTCTTTCCTTCATTTAGACATTGGTTTGTCAAAAATATCAAACACCTTTAAGCTCCCGTCTAACTACTACAAAAATCAAGGCACATGTTTACTTGGTTGACTGAATTGAGGTCCCATTTTATATACCTGTTCTGCCTGCTTGTGGTTTGCTTTTGTCTTGGTGCTTTAGTACCTTGATGGTTTAGCCCTGGTTGGGCAGTTCATGCTCGCAACACAGACCACCTGTAAGCACCGCAGGTGCAGAAATCTAACTGACTGTGTCTGTGGGCTGTGGGGTCAGTGCTTCTGCCTATTCTGCTTTAAGTCTCCTAGCCCAGGTTCAGATATTTCTTCTCTTGGAGACTGGCTACAGTTTTGGAGCTAAATGCTTTCACTGCTTTGGATGTGATTTGCAAACATCCGTATCCTGTCTGAGTTCTTGTGAAATTCTGCCATTAGTGTCATGTGAAGCAAACTATGTCACAGTTGTGAGGTTTTTTGGGACATCTACCCTTGAGGCCTAGACAAGAGGCGGAGACATGTCATGGACAGGAGGCAGGATTAGGAAATAAGAATTCTTGACTTGGATATCATAAAGTGGGTATTGGGAGTCTCTCAATTTTGTGTTACCCATCTGGAAAGACTCAAAAGATACCCAATTTCCAGACAGTGTTAAACATGAGCCCCTCTGAAGTTACACCACTTGCAATCGCAAATCACTTTTAAAGTTCACCTTTTCTTGTCTTGAAATTCTTGTCTGGATTTTGCCCCCAGTCTGATTTTGTCACTGAGTGGTTCACTTAGGTCTTTGCTCTGTTTTTTTCCATAGGTAAAAAGTGGGCTTTTGAGACTGATGGTGAGATTTTCAGGACAACTGACTTTCAGTGGGTTTAGGAGCAAAGCTTTTTTAGGCTGCTATTCAGGTTCCCCATCCTTTAATAATTAAGTGAATAATACTCTCTGGGAAAATGCTAAGCATGATTATTGGACTTCCTCCTGGCTCATTGCTTTCTAACCAGCTCCGTGCTTGTTGGGAGAATGACTCCCAGTGACCGCTGCTGCTAGCACAAGGGTGGCCAACCATTTTCACCCTGCCACAACCTTCATCTGTTTGGGAAGCTGTGAAACACATGCCACATGTCTTGGAAAGTCAGGGAGAATGGGAGCTCTGGGAAAGGTTCCTGTGTGGGAGATAACGGTGACTCCCCAGGAATTACACTGTTCCTTTGAGGGCTGGGGCCAGCCCAATGTGTGGCTCAATCCCAGGGCAACCTGGCAGTGTCAATCTCTGCTGCGCTTGCTGGTTCATTTTTCTCTCCCAGCTGAGATGTAGATCACACAGTAGTGATTTTGTTAGTCCAAGGCTGGTGGCCTTCTGATGGAGCCTGTATGTGGGAGCTGTGCAGGGGTTGCCTGTGACTCAGGATCAATCCCCAAGTTGGCCACCCCTGTGGTAGTGGGAGCAGCACTGGCCTTTGGGTTTTGTTGCTGTTGGGTTGTGGTTTTTTTTTTTTCTCCCCTCCTTGGGGCAGCAAGGCTCTGTGTTCTGTTTCCTTTATCACAAACGTAACTGATTGGGTGGTGTGCAAGGCCACACACAGCCTTATCTCATCACATCCTGTTTGACTGTATTATCCAGGGCTGCACTGATAGAAGCTCTCCTCTGTCCTTGTTTTGATTTATATCACTGTGCTGGACACTACATCCTCTCTCTGTTTCAGCCAGAGCTCAACTACTGCAGTAATTTAAGAGTGTTGTTTTGCTTTGCTGAGGAAGTCAGGTGCCTTTTGAACAGCAGCTGCTTCAGGCAGTTTCAGCGTAGCAAGCAAACCCAGCTTGATTTTGTGCTAGGCAGCAGCTTTGTGATAAGCATTCAGCTGGAGCCCAAGCTTATGTTGGGCATGATCTGAGGCTACTAGTGTTTGTTCCTTTGTAAACCAGTCTTAGTGGTGAGATGGACACAAAAATCTCACAATGAAGCCTGTAGAGGTAATAATTGTATTACCTTGCACAATATGCAGATGGAAATCTCAGTTCTTTCGTCTTTGCCTGGGGCTGCTGCCTGTTAAGCGCTTTTGCTTCACCTACAGCAAGTAACACTTACCTTAGCTAGTTTTATTCACAGCATTAGGCAGCGTTACTCTGGTGTGCTGGTTGTATAGGGATATTCAGAGGGAATAGCCAGCATTGCTCAAGGATTGCAGGAGGCTCAGGGCAAAAGGTGAGATGGTAGCCACTCTCCCTGGTTGGTGAAGTTCTTACAGAGTGCTTGAGTGGAGCCCCCTCAAAAGGCTCAGTGGACTGCTCCCACCCATCTCCACTGTCACTGGATCTGCTGAAATGAGTGGCTCTGCCTCCAGGTTGATTTAATGACTGGTGTGCAGCTCCTGAGGAGCCTGAGCAACTGGTTGCTGGCTCGTGCTGCAAAAGTGCTGTTACCTTACTAGACATAGTGCAGTGCTAGCTGGTCTTGCTACAGTTGCATCTTTATTTTGCTCTGTAAAGACTCTGTAAACGCATTCATGATTTCTGTCCTCTTTTGCCTGCAAGCTTTAACAGACCTTAATTATCATTGAATAGCTGCTTTCCCACCTCTTCCCTTTCCAGTACGTTTTTTTTCCTGCAGTCTTTGAGTTGCACCCCCTTGGAGCTACTTATCTACTGATTGCACTCATTCTTCTCTTTCAGAGGAACTGAGCTATTATTGTAGTGTCCCACAGAATTTCCCAGCCTTCTTCCTCTGGTAAGTTTGAATGCTATCTTCTGTCGTACCTTGTGCAATAGATTTCATAGTATTCCAAACTGTTGCTTTCCTAAACCAAATCTCCTTTTGTGACTGCATTGTGTAAGCCCATTTGTTAGTGTGTTCTGGATGGAAGTAACTGACTGTTTGTTGCTGTTTCCAGGTTTTCTTATTGTTATAAACTACTCTAAAGTTATAGTTTGAGCAGCAGGACATCTTCTCTTCTGGCTGAACTATTCCTTTTTTGAAATTCTGTTTGACTGCTGATCAGATATGAAAATGTTGTGAGTCAGGTCCTCTATAGTAGCAGTATTTGGCTCATGTTTTACCAAGGTAGTGAATACCAGAATTGTTTGTTTTTATCTGCATTACAATGACATCAAGGGATACCTGTAATGGGAAGCAGTCCCTGCCCCCACAGCTTGCAGTTCCATTAAACTAGACCATGGGTAAAGGGATGTCCTGGGTAAAACTTGCTCAGAGGCAGGGGTGGAACCACACTGCCAGGCTCTGCAGGGCTGTGCTGGCAAGCACTCCTCATGAGAGGAGTGGGAGAATGGGGGCATCTCCCATGAACGTGTCATGCTTGATGCCAATTCCAGCAGGGAAAGGGGGTGGCCATGGGGTGGGGGGAGTCTTTTGGACAGAGCAGCTCTAAGAAAACCGAACAACTGGAGACAGCTGGCTGCAATTTTTCAGATCCTCAGGAAAGTATGATTTTGTGTTGAGCAGCTGCCACAAACACTTAAGAGGGAGCTGTTACCAACAGTAATGACTGAGGGATTGATATTAGAAAGCAGATGTGTCAGGCTGCAGAGACTGTTAAAGATGTGCTCTCTGTCAATGAGGCCTTGCTGAAGGGCTCTTGGCAGCTGCCTAGCCCTGCAGGATCTCTGAATCTGCATGAGACACCATGTGTGGAAGGAAAGAGAGTTAGTGTTGAAATTACCAGCATTAGAACGATTAAACCAAGGTTGCTGGAGCTGAAAGATTTTTGTGCTTTCTTCATGGTTTTGCTTTCCTCTGACCCCAAAGCCTGCCTTTGAGAGTGACTCATTAAGAGGTAAGAAAAGAAAGAACAGGGACCAAGAGTGAGTAAGAAACAGTATTTGGACAGAGGGAAACATAAGAGGGGAGTAGAGGTACTGCGGTGAGGAGGTGGAGGTGCTTTGAGGGGCTTGTGTCCAGTCCTGGGAGAGAATCGACTGCCAGACTCCCAAAAGAAAGGTAGTTCATCATCTCTCAGTAAAATGAGAGTGGGGATCAGAACAAGAACAGCTGTAAGGTACGATACTAGAAATACAAAAGCCAAGAAGAGGAGTCTTAAGTTCAAACTGAGGGAATCTGAAAAGAACAAACACCGAGCCTAGGACCTCTGGCAAAACTTCCTGTTACAAGAATGGGACAACATCCTCTGACTCCTGATCCTAAGGACTGTGCCGAGGGAAGAATTGTCCAAGCATGCCTGGGAACTGGGATGACTGTTGAGTGATTTCAGAATTAAACTCCCTCCACATCAGAAAAAAGCTTTGTGATTACAAGCTCTTCCACAAGCAGAACTTAAAAAAAAAAATTAATATTATTGACACCAATAAATAACATATTCAATATTAGCATGTTTCTGAAAAATGCTCTATTTTTGACCAGATTGCTTTTTCAATGGCAAGTGATTCCACTGGCAGTTTTTCAACTTGCTGTACTAATAAAGCCATTTACCATAGAGTTTAGCCCCCAACTTCTCTACAGTTTGTTTTGCTTGGTTTAATAAATGACTGCTTTGGCCATCAATGAATTCAGAATTAAGATAACCAGTGTAGGAAACCAGTGGTCTGAAGTGTTCAGTCAAAGAAGAGACCCACAGACAGCACCTGACCAGGACTCCCTTACTGCCTCTGAATGCTAAGTATTGCCTGGGACTGTACATGGAGCTTACTACTTAAGCAACACTATTTATGAAAAAATTGCAGGCCATTTAAGCCCTTGGCATCTTACTGTACTAGAGATGAAGGGATTTTCATGGTTATTTCAGTCTATGGAATTTCTTTGGAAGTTACCAAAAGAAGGCTACTTTGTGTTAGTGTCTGGGTGATTACTGAGGTTTCAGCTGGAGGTGGCTAAACATCCTTGATTGTGTAGTCAGTACATTTCCACTTTTCTCACCATCCATCAGGAATAGCTTTAGTGACAAGAAGGGAAAGCAGAATCAGGCCCCAGGGTGTAGAAAAGTTGGGATCGGCCACAATAGCACATTTCAGTGCCTGCTGAGCCAGCTGTAGCTTGGGACAGGACTAACATTGCTGTTCAAGGCACAGAAAGTAAGAAACATTAAAAAAAACCCCCAAATGTATCTAGTCACTTACAGATTTCTGTCATTTCTTCTCTCATTGCTTTTATGTTCCACATCACGCTTGATTTAGACCAATGTGAGATAAGGCTCCCGTGTTCTGTTTCTTGGTTTGTGGACTTCCCTGAATATACAAGTGATATCTGCAAAAGCTGGTGCAACTTTTCTTTCGTGTTTGGAGAGTCTTGGGAGTTGACACTGAAGTGAATACAGCATATGTTTTCTCCTGCACTTATTCTGGAGCTTGGATCAGAAGGGACCCAGCATTTCCTTTGTCACCCAAGGCGCTTGGCACAGATGTGAAGCCTTGTAAAACATGAAATGATCAGGCGACAACTCCTAGGGTTTAGATGGGGGGAGGGGGTTAAGCTTCAGATATAGTTGCTTAGTTTCCAACATAAGAACGTGCCATGCTGAAATCATCTGCTAGGTATTCAACCGTGTCTCCGTGGACATTAGGGAGATGAAATTAACTGGATTCAATGTAGGTGCATTAAATTTATTGTGCATTAAATACGGAGGGTCTTGACAGTCTCCGGAGAGTAGGGGTGCTTGGGGTAGTATCAAAAGGAGAACAGCTGTAACAAAGAGCTTGTTTCTGTGTTAGAGTCCCCCTGTGGAAAGCTTACTCCCCTACACTGAGTCCCCAGCAGGACAATCTCTTAAATACCCATGTAATTTTTTACTGGACATCTGCCAGTGAAAGGGGATGTATTGGTGATAGATACTTGGTGAGGGAAGCAACTGGTACCATTCATTTCAGGATTTCTTAAAGTCCTGTTGCTGGCTTTCGTGCCATTCACAGTGTGCTTGAGATGTTTGTCCCAGTGGCAAAGGCCAAGTATGAGTTCCCCTTTCTGCCCCTTAACCTCACTTTTTTTTTTTTCTTTTCCTTTCTTCCCATGTTTATTAGGGCTCTGAAAACGTATAGTATGGGTCAAGAGGACTTAAATAATCTGATGCAGGAGCTAAAATGGGTGGATGGACAGTGGTAGGCCATTTCAGTGTTCATGTGTTCCAAACATTTTCACGGGAAATAAGTCATATACTGGGTTTTCTAAATGTCCATGTGAACGACTTGTTAAAATGCTGCACCATGATGTAAGAAGTGTACTGTGTCTAGAAATTATTCAAATGCCCAGTATCATCTCCTTTGTTTCCTGAGCTTTTGGTGGGTTATGGAGATGTAAAATACGTATCTGCTGCTGTCTAAAGTCATTAAGGAGCAGCAAAACCTTCTGAGAGTCAGTGTTGTCAACTCTTTTTACAACTTCATCTTTTGAAATGATAAAATTCTTAAGAATTTCAGCTTTTATTAAAAACATTAATACAAAATCTAGTCATTACAGTCTTATCATTTTTTAAACATGAAATCCAAAGAGGTAAGAAACCAAAGAGAGACTTAAAGAGGAGTGTATGATGTAATGCTTTTTTAAGTTGATGTCAGAAAAGCTTCTGGAGCCATGAGCCCTGAATTTTTGAACTTCTGAACTTGAGTGAATGGACCTGCTTTGCCTATTTACCGACAAGGGCATGGCATAACTGCACAAATTTTGTTCTAGCTAGTTTTTGACATAGGCCATGCCCAAATTTCTCCTCTGTCTTCCTTTACATTATCACTGTAGTATTTCTTGAGCTAGTCTGACTTGGCATGTCAGAGCCTTACTCTTGTTCAGTACAGGTTTGATGATTCTGTTGCTCTTGCAAAAAAAGCACCTTGTTTTGATTTTCTTGCTACCCAGCTCAATGTGGTGATATGCAGAGAAGTTTTGAACTCTCTCCTTTAACTGGATTCTCAAATGGTGGCTTGTGAATGTTCTTTGTAGCCCAGATAACAAAGCTACTAAAAAGGTAAACAAACAGCTTTGGGATTAAGGCAGGGGAATGACCTGTGTCTTTAGAAGCCATTTGTCTTCTATATGGTTGATTGGAAGCATCTGCATGGTCTGAAGTTGCTTTCTGAACCAGTGTTTCAGCAGCTCCACTCAATGACTTCAGCCTCTACCGTAGGTGTTTGTAAGCGGACTGTGATTTATTGTTGTTTTCAAGAGCTAGCAGCTGCCTGCTTAGGTTCAATGAGAAACCAGTTTCTGCTCCTGCCCAGTGGCAAATCTAATGGCCTGTGACTGGTAAAGAATGAGGGGGCAGAGAGGCACAGAGAACTGAAGGCATTTGCCCAAAGTCGTTTTGAAGATGAGCAGTAGAACCAGGCTAAGCACCTAGGGTTCTCAACCTGCAGCCTAGTGCCTTTATCCTTTTACTCATGGATTTACCCTTCTGCTCCTGCCAGGGTAGTGCTGAGATTTGGGAGACATTGCATTGAACTGGCCAGCTCCAGGAATTGCTTTTTAGAAGTGCAGCTGATCCTTGAGAAGAAGAAATGTCAGTGTTAAAAATGACACTCTGATCCAGTGAAACAGTATCTAAGAAAATTTCAACCCCCGGTGCTCAGTGATGACTAGGTAATTCATCACTGCTTTATTTTGTGTAGTCTTTCCCACAGACTGAATCCCTGTACACGTGCTTCAGAAAGTTAACGGTTACACAGATAATGACAGCAGAAGGAGAAGGAAATTAGAAGACAAAGACATGGGCAAGAAGATGTGTCTCAGAATTGGGAAGTGGTAGAGAGTTAATGAGATACAGGAGCTGGCTGTTCTATCAGAATGATTTGTAGAAAAGGTTTTCATCTCAGTATTAATAGAAATCAAGCATGTGGTTGAGTTGCCATTTAAGGTAAACTTGAAGTTAAAAACCCTCCTCAGTGAGGTTTTTATTTTTTTTTTCTTTAGTTAATCTCATTTTCCTAGAGAGAAGGATTTCTAACTGACAGATGTGATATATTTCTCATCACAGGTTCTGAGTTTGCTTCTCCGTGTGGCACTTTGGAGTTCCTAGCTGGCACCATTACCTCCAACGAGTGGAGTTCTCCCACCTCCCCTGAGGGGAGCAACGACTCGGGGGGCAGCGAGGCCTTGGACAAACCCATTGACAATGACGCTGAGGGTGTGTGGAGTCCGGACATTGAGCAGAGCTTCCAGGAAGCGCTAGCCATTTACCCACCATGTGGACGGCGAAAGATTATCTTGTCAGACGAAGGCAAGATGTATGGTAAGGAGAAAGAAAGGGGGCACATCACAACGCTCCAGGCAGCCTGCCCTGTGCAGGACACTTGCCTTGTACCAAATGATGATCTGAATGAACTCTTCTCTCAGGTGATCCCGAGTTGATGCAGTTGGTCGCTTCAAGTTGTATTTAGGAAAATCAGTGAAAATTTTAACACTCCATGCACACAGAGCAGAAAGAATTATAGATGTCTTTTTTCAGGGGAATATCAGTAAGGTAGATCCTAGAGCTGGCCATGCTACTGAACTAATCTTTGGATACAGATACCATATAATGGCTTCATGTGTGACAAAGTCTGTCTTTTATAGTATCTCTTGATGCGGTCTCCAACATTCTAACAGGTCTGCCTCTCTGGTGCTAAAGGGCAGAAGTTCAGCCCCTTGAACCCCTGAATGGCTCTGCTGGTGCAAATGCCTACAGTTTGTTAACTAGCTACACTTTTGAGATCTTAAGAAGACCTCTCTGGCTGCTCCCTTTCACTGTAGTTTGCCTTACAGCCCTCCATGAATATCTTTCACCTATGGACTCTTCTCAGCTAGCTGGCTAGATGCCCAGCCCTGAATGCAGAGAAGCACTGACTTGCAGCTGCAGCAGAGGTCAACTTCTTAGGTGGTAGACATGATTTTGAATCCGATTTTTGACCTATTCCACAGTTAAAATTTCTCTCTTGATTATTGCCCACAAAAAAAAGCTGGTCTGGGCTGGATTCTCTAGCTCAGTATTGGAAGAAGCCACATGGTACTTCTGTGACTAAAAGAGCAAAGCAAAGGCTGAGAGTGCACAGTATTTGTTTAAAAGTCCTGAAGTGTTAAAACTGTTTCTCAAAGCACTGGCAAGGATCTTACGGAAGACAGCCCTCTTCCTAGTCAGTCAGTTCTTGCTTTTTTTCCTTTACATTGGAATCTGTGTGTCTTTGCAGGCCCCATCATGGGAGCACCATGCCCTGAAGCTTCACGTGGAGCACTTCACAAATCATTCTGCAGGTTTCTGTCTACCCATTGGGCCATTGTTCCCTGAGCTAGGGAATGGATTGCTCTCACTATGGAGGCGTGGGTGGGGTTGTGTTTACATGGCCTTATCTGCAATGGATGGTTTTACTGGGTGCATACATCATTGTATCCGTACAGAGCAATGTATGTTGAGTAAGGCCATTCACCCCGACGCTCAGCAAGTGTCTATATTCTGATGTAGACATCAATTCCTGCTCTCTGCTGGCACAGATATTTTTGTGGTTGTGCTATGGAACCAACCAGGGAACTGATCCAACTTAAAACTAACACAGCCAGCAAGGGGAAAAAAGTGAACTTTAATTTGGGTATGCCCCCCGATTTGTTTCACTGCACAGCTGCTTGTGCTGGTACTTAGAGAAGGGATGATGAGAGTGGGAATGAGCAGCCATGGTTGAGACGAGGATAGGACTGCTTATTCCAGAAGCAATGCTTGCTTAAAATATTATTCAAGTTAAAATATTACTTGAAAATCCACCCCATGGTTATTAAGCATAGATTAGTGATGTGCTCCATGCCATCCTAAGTCTGCACTGGTTTTCATGACAGGTGACTTTTAAAATCACTGGTGAAAAAATTACAGTTGTGTTTAAAGTCTGTCTTCATCTACTAATCATTCTGCATAGTCCCCAAAATACTTCAGCTTTGGTGTGGATGTGTCAGAGCAGAGGGCGAAATGGACCAGAAAAGAAGTAAGAGTGAGAGCAAAAGTAAAAATGAAGTAAATGGACTACAGAAACCAACGAGATTTAGCTGGGGCCTGGCCTAGCATGGACTGGTGTTTAGTGGACAGTCCCTAGTTACCTGGTGAGCTGCAGAAGGTAAATAATGCACTTGTAGGGTGAAAAGTTTAGGCTGGGCTCTGGGAGAAGAAGTGAACAGCTTTTCTACAGGCCCTCCCCCTCTACTCCACAGGGGACAGTGTCCCTGCTTGCCTTCAGTGCACCTGTTCCCAGCAAGGATGGTTGGTTCGATGTGCTCCTGACAGCACCCAAGGCACTGATTTATGCCCTCCTTTGCTTACTAGCCTCCAGGACCGACGCCAAGGAAGTGGGGCCCAGCCTGGGATCTATAGAAAGATATGACCGGGCAGGGAGAATAAATATACTCCCTGATTTCATCTTCACCGCTTATGAGCCAGCTCACAGAACAGGACAAGCTGTATGTGGAGCCGGCCCTGCCTCCAAGGGACAGTTGTTCAGCCATCCCGTGACCGACTTGCCCAGAACTCATTGAACCAAGGGGCAAGGCATTATGGAGAGCTGTATATGCCCCTTCCCCTGACAAAATGGGAACCATTTCACTGTTTCCCACTGAGGCTCGTGTGGTTAATACTCTTTTGGGAATGATGTTCCAGGTCCTAGGATCTCTTCTGTGTACAATTTATACACTTCTCACCTGTTGTGAGGAACCCTTTACCAGTTTAAAGTTAGTAGTTTTTACCAGCTAACATGTTAAATGAGCTCAAGTGTGCCAAGCCCGTGTGAAAAACTTGCACTGGTTTATTTGAATACATTTAAAATTGCAGTGAAAGGTGTGTTTCAGCCTATACACAGGTCTCATGCTCCCTAGCCTCTTCCAAGTCTGCTTGCTGCTTGCAGCTCTTACAATGACACTCTGTTGATTGCCGAGTGGAGATGATTCCTACTTCACCTGGAATTCAGCCAAGCTCTTCTCTGTACATCAACGATATGTGTCTTTGATGCCTTTGCTGCAGCCTTTTCTTTCATTATCTTTTTCCCTCCTAGATATGTTCCGTTACTGGAGGCAGCATCCTGGCTGAATAAGCTCATAGCACAGCACTGTTCTGGGTACAAGCCCTCACTGTCCTCCAGCAGTCTCTGCTTACCACCTGCTGAAGGCACGAAAAGCTGTCTTCTCTGATATGGGATGCTATCTTTTGTCCTAATCACTGTGTTGACATCAGAAACAGCAAGTCCTGGGCACCATTAACTTACTGATCTGGTGCCTTCTGGTACCACCTAAGGTCCTGCAGGGTAATTTTTATAAGTGTTGCCTGCTAGAATACTATGAGGGTACCGTATTACAAATCTGGCTCTTACATTTTCCAACTGTGTTGTTCCATGGGAGAAATAATATCTGTAGCATTTGTACCAAATAAGCAATCATAGAATTCAGTGTTAGAGTCATTGTCTGCTGGCATCTTCAGTACTGGTCTAGAGGAGAGGGAAAAGGCTTAGTACGTTTGTGTGATTTGCATGGAGACGCTAAATAGAGCAGGTCTCCCAACACTACTAAGGACAGAGAAATAAAAAATAGTAACTAGCAAAGTGATATTTGTTTTGACAAAACACTGCTGGGGCCTTGTGAAGTGAAGAAGGAAGAGCTTGGAAGAACTGAGCTACTGCCTTAGCTGTCCAGTGTTCCCTTCCACTGCACGCACATCTGGCTTGGAGCACTTTTTTTGTAAGAGGGGCTAGAATTGGCAGCTGTTTGTTAGACTGCAGTTCTGTAGGAGGCAGTAGTTTAGCAGGTGGTTTACAAACAGATCAGCCATTTCTGTGCTGAGCAGGGTGGGGCAGTCACCAGGATCTGTTTCTGAGTCAAAGCCCTGATACGACTGATAGGAAATACTTAAGGATGTCCCAAGCTCAGAGACTGAATGCTAGAAGGTTAGTTAACCATGTTACCCATTAAAACCTGGAGCATGCAGTGAGCTGCAAAGGCTTGAGTTTGCAACGTGGATTAAACTGGCATAAAAGGTTGGTCTGATGCTGAGAACATGGGTGGTCTGCTCCCACACCTGAAGTGACTAGGTAAATTTGCAGGATATTGCCTTTACCTCAAAGGGATATGTTATCTGTTAATGTTTTCCCCAAACTCCAAAAGTCACTGAAAGTAAAACTGAAAAGTAAACAAATAACCCCGAAGAAGCACAAAACATATGCCACTTCTCCTTGAGGGGAGGGAGAAGCATGGCAGCTATTGCAAATATGAAAACCTTCAAGGTGTCAGTCTTCAGATGCTTTCTTCTACATCTAGTTTAGCATCTCACCTGACGATGTTTCAGTCAAAGCAAATGGAACATACTGAGAATGTGTTCAGTTTACCCTGAACTGGCTGGCCCAGGTAATTGCAAAATTTGGATTTCAGCTGTGATACATCTGCAGTTCCTATCCCTTCCATTATTGTGACCTAGTGAACCGCAGAACAGCCTTTTATCCCCCAGTTTTGGTAACAAAATTGAATCGCCCATTTTAAACACTAGAAGACAGAGGAAACTAACATTTGTGAACAGTCAGTCAGGATGCAGACTTCTCCCCCCTCTCCTTCTCCTGGTGGTAGGGGTGATGGTTTTGGAATTGCTCCATAACAAGATTTTGTTTCACTGAGTCACTTTTCAATTTCACTTTTGTGCAGTTTTAGTTCTTTGTTGTTGACTAGATGAAGCCAGATTTCTGGAGACCTTTGGAACAGGTTAAATGTTTGCTGGAATTTGTCAAGTTTTTCTTCCATCTCCTTTGTAAGATGAGTTTAGGGTTCTTCACATTAAACTGTATGTCAGTTTACCTGGTGTTTTCTCCATGCAAACATAAAAAGAAATATTTTCCCATGAGTATTTCCTGAATATTGAGATGTTTATCACTTTTGAAATGCCAACCAACCAGGAAACTTCTTGCTGTTGCAGTTAATAGAGTTAATAGTACTGGCTGTGGTGCTGTCTTTCCTTACCATATTTAGTGCTGAAGAGAAATATATTAGCAGTTTTATTGTGTGCTTCATGCTATCAAAATTATTGTGACTACTTTTGGGGGGGGCTTTATTTTCTTGTTTCAACAAAGGGCACATACTTTTTCCTGTCCCTTTTGATTTTTAGCAGCTTTGTAGTCCCATTTTTATCTGTTAGCCTTACAACCAAGCCTGCTGTGTAGGATTATGTTTTTCTCACTGTGCATGTCTGCAGCCACATAGATTTCGTCATGTTCAAGTAACTTCCTTCATTAGCAACATTACCCT